GGAGATGAGAATGAGAGGAAGGAAAGAAGGAAGGAAGAAGGAAGGAAGGAGATGAGAATGAGAAGGAAGGAGATGGGAACGAGAGGAAGGGAAGAAGGAAGGAGATGAGAATGAGAGGAAGGAAGAAATGGAGATGAGAATGAAAGGAATGAATAAGGAAGGAGATGAGAATGAGAGGAAGGAAATGAGAATGAGAGGAAGGAAGGAAGGAAGGAAGGAAGAAGGAAATGAGAATGAGGAAGGAAGGAGATGGGAATGAGAAGAAGGAAGGAGATGAGAACTAGAGGAAGGAAAGGAAAGGAAAGGAGGAAGGAATGGAACAAAGCCAACAAAGGAAAAAGAAACCAAGGAAATCCACTTTTCTATTTATGAGTATATATTTGGCCCAGGAATTCTGCAAAGTTTGAATCGAGTTCCATGTTTGGGAAGGCCTTTTCAGCCTCCCTTCATCCCGATGGTTACAAACTAGAGCCACAATATACAAAAGTACCGTGGTTTCTTCAGCCAGCCCCATTCCACAAACCGTGATCAGTCCGCGGACTCCACCAGTCTCCCCAGGGATGTGGCAGCCCCCTCCTCCCGCTGGCCCTCCCCGCTCTTCCTCACCTTGCTTGAAATTCTCCAAATTGCGGAATTCCAGCAGGCTGTTCCCGTAATAGTAGTTGGCCACGTAGATCCGCTCATCGGAGGCCGCGGGGTCCTTCATCCAGGCGCCTTCATTCCGACCGTAGCTGTGCTGCGTCTGGGGGGGCTCCACGGCCTTCAGGGTCCCCTCGCACGAGGCCTCGTGGGCTGCGGGTCCAACGCAGAGGATGGAAAGGGCTGGGAACACCCTACCACCACCACCCCACGGTGCCACGTTGGCCAGCTCTGTCCCAGTGACCTCCTGAAGGAGACCCCAGGGGTGGGATTCTACTAGTTCAGCATGGTTCGAGGGAACCGGTTCGCTCCAAAGATCGAGATATTTTTTCCTCCACCGATCAGCTGTTTTCCGACGATCAGCTGTTGCTGCTTTAGATTAGCTAGAAAGCAGAAAATTGTCGGATTTCTTGCTTTCTTGGCTAATCTAAATCGCGCAGCACAGCTGATTCCCCCCCCCTCGCTGTTGCACTGCTTCGCTTAGCAGACCTCCTTGAGGCCCCGAAGGCAAAAAACGGGGTGCAGGGGGGAGCAGCGTAGTCCTCCGTACCCCGTATTTGCACCCAGGAGCAAAAAACAAAACAAAACCATGCCCACCCAGTCACACGACTACATGGCCACGCCCACAGAACTGGTAGTTTAAATATTTGCATCCCAGCCCTGGGAGATCCCCAACCCAACCCCCCCTCCAGTGGAGGCAGGATTCACACGTACCGTGGCTGGGCGGGGGAAGGATCTTGGGGATGTGGCCAGGTCTCCCGGAGAGCAGAGGAGGGCCAGGCCGACTTTGGAGCGTGGCGCCGATTCTCATCGTGGGGGCTAAGGAGGTTGCGTTGGCAGGGGAAGCCGTAGAGGGAATTTCTCCTGCCCTGGGGAGGGTCTCTTGGTGCACCAGTTCGAGTCCAGCTTTCTTCTTGGGGTTTTCTGCGGGAAAGGAACCTCCTTAGCGAGCCCAAAGCTGGGGATTATTCCCACGAATGGTAACTCTCGACTTACAACCTTGTTCAACGCTTACAATCATCCTCTTTTAACGACTCCATAATCCCTTGTGGGGTGGAGCCTGGGCAACTGAAAGGAGTTGAGTGTTTACTGGCCGGATGCCCTTCCTTGTTGCCAGTACGGAGTTTTCGTTCAGCAGATATATTCTCATCATGCCCAGAGAGAGAAATATCTGCCTCTAGGATCGAACTCACAGCCTCCTGATTGTGAGGCGAGATCTCCACCTCCACCACACCACTCATCGACGCTACTCACCATGGCTGCTGGCCACCCCCTCTGCCTCTGCTTGGTGTCCAGCTTTGTAGTACACGTGGCTCCAGATGAGAGTCTGCTGTCCAGAGGAATTGGATTTGGAAGTTGGCGACGGGAGACCCATCTTGCCCTTGGCGCTTTCTTTCCTCGGTTTTTCTGCCTTCTCCTTGAGAATTCGGGGGGTCTCTTTGTCCCCCAGACTTTTCCGAGGACCGGCGTATTTCCGGACGCTCTCCTGATGCCCCGCAGTGTCCTAAAAAGGGGAGAGAAAACACAACAGCCCTGCAGAGACGCACGGTGGAAGTTTTAACTCTCTTAGGACCTGTGCCTTAAATCCATTTCGGCTGGAAACCGACCTGCCACGAAAGGACAAAGCGAAGAGGAGGGAAGAGGGAAAAGGTGCAAACCTGGGGTGGGATTTTACCGGTTCGGACCGGTTCTATAGAACCGGTTGTTATGATTCTGCGCAGTTCGGAGAACTGGCAAATTGTGCCCCTTGAGAATAAACCGGACGAAAGAAACAGGGATTGCCGATAAATGGATCCAGACATTAAGGGAGATGGGACCGGCGGATTCCAGCCGGAACGACGGAGGACTAACCTGCGCTTTGTGTTCCAGACTTGTGACGGCCGCATCTTTCTGCAGCAGCTGATGCTCCAGGTTCGAAAGCTCCTTCTTGAGGCCCACCACCATGTCCGAGTAGTTCTCGTAGCGCTTCATCTGGTCGCTCAAGTGCATGACGGTCTCCTTCACTACGTTGCTGTCGCGGCTCAGGTTGGTTCTGACCGTCTGGGGTGGTGGGGGGAGAAGGGATCGAGTGTGTATGTGAGACAAGATCAACCTACTGCATTTGACTTGGTTAACCAACTTTCCTGCCTTTCCAGACCCTTCCCTTTTTTCTTGAGCAGCCCCGGAAGCCCAGAGGCCATATAGTCCAGCCCTGCTGAGGAAGCCCCCTCTAAGCCAGTATGGTCTGCTCGAGGAGACCCATCACAGGTAACCTCATCATGTTGAGGTTCTGCTGCAGAGGTGGGTCTTCAGCCGGTTCGGACCAGTTCTGGAGAACCGGTAGTGGAAATTTTGATTAGTTTGGAGAACCGGCCAATCCCGTCTCTGACTGGCCCCGCCAACCCCATCTCTTCTCTGCCTCCCATTGAGTCCCAGTTGATCGGCTGGGTTTCCTGTGGTTGCCCTGCACAGGAGAACGGAGCTGGAAAGCAGGTTAGTGGGGAGGAAAGGGAAGGGGGATTTTGCAGTATATCCTTCCCCTGCCATGCCCACCATGCCACGCTCCACAGAACGGAAGTCAAATATATTTGAACCCCACCACTCTTCTGCTGCTCCTACCAGCCTTTAACCAGGATCTCATTATCGTTTCATTATGGCTTCAATTCGGCGGCCACTCATCCGGACCGAAGAAAAGACATGATGTGATGTCGTCCTGGCTTTCTCCAGTAGAACAACATCTCCAGGGCGGGAAGAGACCCCTCCTCACTCCGTCTTCTCTCAATCCACCCAGTTCCTGCTAAAAGGAGGAGGAACGAAACGCCCACCCCCACCCTGGGGAAAACCCCAAAGAAGTTGGAGCTCACCTCTTCCAAGGTGTTTATCTGCTCCACCACCTGCTTGATGTAGGAATGGACCGTCATCAAGCCCATGCTGTACAGGGCCCCTTCCAGCAGGTCGGTGATGGACTGCAGCTGCAGGGAAGCGGGGAGGAGCGGTTAAGGCACCAGGCTAGAAACGGGAGACCAGGAGTTCTAGTCCTGCCTTAGCCATGAAAGCCGGCTGGGTGACTTTGGGCCAATCACCAGGAGACGGTGAGTTCTAGTTCTGCCTTAGGCATGAAAGCCAGCTGGGTGACTTTGGTCCAATCACCAGGAGACAGTGAGTTCTAGTCCCGCCTTAGGCATGAAAGCCGGCTGGGTGACTTTGGTCCAATCACCAGGAGACGGTGAGTTCTAGTTCAGCCTTAGGCATGAAAGCCGGCTGGGTGACTTTGG